AGATGAAAATATTCTACCCAGATACATGCTTGAAATTATTAAGTAATCATAAGATATTAGAAAACTGGTTCTTTATAAAGTTAAACAAGTTTGTAGAAACAAGGAATCCTCTGTTAAAAAGAGCTAAAAGATGAGACAATACGATCTAGGATAAAATCAAACAACTGAGCCTATCAGTCAGTATTCAGACCAACACAGACATGCACAAATAGCACAGATGAAAGACTATTTCAAGAAGAGAATTTACTGCCATGACTGAGGTAGGATAATGAAGAGAAAAAGAGAGTAGAAACAAAGCATCCCATAAGAGAGAAGAAACAGAAAACATATCACTGAGATTATTTCTGTAACTGGAGGAAGAACACTCAGTGTTTCCCCACATGGGAAAGAAAATGTTTCAAATTTAAAATTCAAGGTAAAGTTACAACTCCTAAAAAGAAAAATCAGCTTCTCTTTTTTATTAAGTTTGAGCTCAAATGCTGAAGAGCAGTGCCTATTTTGCTTCTCACGTAAAGGGCAGAAACCATAGGGGGAAAGGTTAGAATTTTATAGTTTACAATAACAAAATGTCCATGAGACTGAACCCTGAAATTACTAAAAAACACATTTAAAACAAGGGGAGAATACAGTTAATATTTCTAGCTAAATCTCACAATTCAATTATTGAGCTACAATTCAAAGGTCATTTTAAACTGGAAATAAGTTTATAAAATATGCTGAATCTTAAAAGTAATGTGAAAGAATACACACATAACACACACATGAACGCACGCATGCACACACACACACACACCACACATCCTTGCCATGCATCCCATGAAGAGACACATAAATGCACATCAATACACACATAATCACACAATCCATACACATGCATACATAGCAAACACAGATATATACACACAGACACACACACACACACACACTACACGCCACACTACAATATAAACATTCACACACAGATGCACACACATATTACACACCCACATATACATACTCAAGCATATACATACATGTACACTACATGCAAGCACACATCCAAGTCTCCCACCCCATGCACATACAGACACACATACTGAGGTTAGAAAGGGTAGGGGAAAACACATGGCATAAGAGTCCCTGACTTATCATTGAGGACAAGCTGCACTGTGGCAATCACTAACTTATAAGTTGCATGGGCTCTGAACAGGAGAGTTGGAAGCACAGAGATAACCACTGATTACTGATTCTGTCATATTGTCTTCATGTCCAAATCTCTAGCTGTGAGAAACAGACATCTTAATATCATCGTTGAGAAGTTCAGTAGATGCTTTATACCTAGCAGACATAGTCTATCTTCAACCATCATTTCCTTTCTTATTCCTATTTTTCAGGATTAAGGCTCAAATATGTTCTGTGGCAAATGGTACCTTTTATCATGTACAGCTAGTGGTGAATGAAGCAGACCAATGGCAGTCATAAATTATAAGGAGTACCAGGTCAGTAATATCCCTGGATCGCTAAGGAAAGATGGAGGATTTAGAAAGACGAATACTTAACTGAAGATAGAAAACTGTGGTCAGCATAATTTACACTTGATATTGCAATTGGATGAAGATAGCCATCTCATCTAGCTTTCAGAAGCACACTGGCATTAGCTACAAAACATTAATTAACAACTGCTTTGTGATTCTTATTTAAAAGAACTAAAAAAAAAGAACATATTCCTTTGTTTTCTGTGCTGTTAAACTTGTAAACTGAATGAACAGATATTAATAGAAATAGACTGTATTGTGGTGATGAGATCAACCAGCATATTCACACAGGGCAGTCACTGCCTCTGCACTATTTGGAAATTTGGTGCTTGCTTTACTGTAGCCCCATTACTATCATTGAGGAAGAAAGATGTGTCTCAGAGTGACAGCAGGCTAGAATAAATACAGAACAAACCCAGACATGAGGCACTGTGTGGGACTTCAGAGGATCAATATAAGCTAGGAAAATGAGAGTAATGTTGACAGAAGGGAGTATCAAAAATATAGGTGATGAGATTGCAGGGTGAAACTGTGAGAGGTTAATGTTAAATTCACAAAGACCATGGCTGCAGTGTACTGGGCCCCTGGATCCTAATGTTTGTCTTAACTTTTTTAGACTAAAAGGTGTGTGTGTGTGTGTGTGTGTGTGTGTATGGTGGGAGGACACCTGTATCCCAAGGTGCAGATCGTGAATGGATAACATGGTAGAGATGATTATCTCCTTCTGCCTGTACACAGGCTCCTGACTTCAAACTCCTTTTACCACGTTTGCTTATTCTTTGAGTGACAAACTTTAGTAAGCAGATGGAAGAAAAACTTTTTAGGATGTGAATTTCCAAGAAATGTATCTCAGAAAACGTGGCTTTATTCTTTATCCAGGAGGTTTCTCTACAGAAATATGGGGGAATCTTTTATATTTAGTTGTGTGTTTAACATGTGTTTCCATTGACCTATACATCCATACATGCCAAAACAGTTTTTTTCTATTTAATTTTTTTCACATGATATATTTTGGGCATGTTTTCCCCTGCCCCAACTCCTCCCAGATCCTCTTACCTCCTCTCACACAGCACATTTTATGAGCTTTCTCTCTCTCTCCAAAGCAAAATCAAAACTAAACAAAACATAAAATGAAAAACAAAATACTAAAGAAAATTAAGCAAAACACATACACAAAAACCAAACCAAACCAAACCAAAAAACCCATATGGAGTTCCAAAACATTCAGGGATCTATGTGTTAGAGGAGACAGGAATAATGTAGGAGCCCAAGGTGATGGATGACCCCAAGGAAACAGTCTTCCAGACACAACAGGACTGGTGCACACATGAACTCACAGAGACTGTGACAGGATGTACAGAAGCAGTTCTTACAATGAATGAAGCATGCCAAAGGGGTTTGCAACTTTAGTCCACTTAGCCTGCAACACATATGTGTGGAAGTGGTAAATAGGGACCGTTTTTGTCTTCCCTGCACCTCTAAACGATCTCTTCTCTTTTATATCATGGTCCTAATAATCTCCTTTATTAATGACTTTATATTGCATGATAATGCATAGCCCTAAGAAGACAAGACAAGCTCTTTCCCACAATCCCTCACAGTGTTGCACAGCTGTGCTTAGCCATGTCTCACAGTTCTGATGTTTCTCTACGTCGTTTATTATTGTGTGCTACCTACTATTCTTAACACACAATTCATATATCCCCCCTTTGTTCCTAGCTCTTTTACTTTTTCTCTTTTTCTTTGGCTTTTACTTCTTACTCTAAAATCTGTGGCTGTAGACAGTATCCCAGCCTGTCCCTCCCAGATATTTTCCCCATCCTGACTTTCTTTTTCAGTTGATCTAATACCCACCTACTTCTCTTCCACTCTTAATCTCTATGACTAATATTCTAGCGTACACCATATTATTTTTTTTACCTTACAAGATGTACTATTGTTTAAAAGGCTGTTGTTTTTAAACTGGATAATGTGGCATTTGCATAGTGGGTTTACCCAGCAGTTTCAGGGATGATTCAGCAGTTAAGAAGACTGGCTGATCTTCTAAGGACTCGGGTTTGATTCCCAGCACCCATACGGTAGCTCATAAACACCTGTTAGTTTCAGGGCATTCAACACATTCTTCTGGCCTCTGAGAGTATCATTCATGTAAGTAGTGCACAAGCATACATACAGGCAAAGCACCTATGCATACAAAATAAAAATTTCAAAATGGATATATCACAGGAGTCATAAAATGTCTTAAGATATATAGAAAGCCTGCAATAGTTTCTTATAATGTGCCTGGCATTGTTGTGGAATAGAGCTAGAAATGAACCTGAGTACAAACTTGAAGGATGAAAAATACTAGTGAACCATGGAAACTGAGTTAGGTGTAGAGAACATACAGAATTGGAGAGAAACTTTGGTAGTTGCATACCCTTCTAAGGTTTGGTATCTAGTATATAAAATGGACAAAAAAAAAAAACAGGTAAACAAAGAAATAAACCACAAAACAATTAAAAAAATGAGAGACTGAAGTGAACAGAAAGCCTTAAAAAGTGAGATACATATGAAAGGAAGCCAACCTCACTAGCCAGGAAATGCATTTCTTTACATTACTATTAGAATGACAGTCATCAAGAAAACAAAGTGGCTGACAAGGATAAGGACAAGAAAACCCTTGCATATTACTGGGAGAAATGTAAGTTAGTCCAGCCACCATGGATGTCAACACAGTGGATTCTGTGAAACCTACAATATGACTCAACTATACCACTTCCCCAAAACTGTAAGTCAATATACCACAAAGATACTTCACAGCGGTGTTTCCTACATTTCAACTGTGCACAACAGCTAAGCTAGGGAGCCATTCCAGATGTCTATCAACAGAGAAGTGGATAAAGAAAACACCAGTTATGTGCACAATGGAATTTGTTAAGCCATAATAATAATGAGATTATGTTGTTTGTAGGAAAGTGGATATGCGCAGAGATTATCATATTAAGTGAATTAAGTGAGTCTTGGAAAGACAAACAACACATTATTTTCCCATTTGAGAGTCCTAGATTGTATATAAAATTGTACATAAAATCAAATATATAGAGATGATATGAAAGTAGGCACAGAGCTGTCTGGGAACCAAGGAAAATATGGCCAAGGGAGGATACGGGGAAAGAATGTGCTCTCAAATCATTACATCATTACACAATAATGTTCTGTGTAACTCTGTATAATAAATAAAGTTCAAAATGTTGTTAGATTGGATTACACAAAAGTATCAGTAGTATAATTACAACTTATATGTAATGTATAGTAACAATAATATACCAAACACAAAACCACCATTACGTTCCAAGGGATGGCTATTTAACAATCATCGTAACACATACCCAGAGGAAATTCCTATGCATTTAATATTGACAAACCACTGAGAACTCTCTTTTTCCTTCCCTGTGAAACACTCCCTTCGCCGACTTTTAAGAGAAAGACAACCAGAATACGTACATGATGGTGTTGATGCCCGAGAGCTGCTGGAACATCTGTAAACCACATCCCACAACTAATGCTCGGCGAGTAGGGGGGTAACTCAGCATTCTGCAGATTACAGGTCCAGCTGTTTTTACAAAAGAAAGAAAGACCAGACCATTACTTTCAGATCTTATTGCAATCTCTGTGAAATTAACACCACTGAGCATTTTGAACATACAACTTTTATGGAAATTCTGGAACAATGTATAACTTCTAAAACCAACAGTATTTCTTAGTTGTAATTTCAAAAGTAACAGCAGAGAATTCTGATGATAGCATGCCATGGGTACTATTCAGACTCAGTCACACATTATTCTTCCTTGAATTCCTTCTAGTTGCAATTATTAATTATACCTTCTGCTTTCCCACTTAATTAACAATTAAACATGACTTGAAATGCACCCATGTGGGACCATTTACAACCACATGAAATAGCATTTATTCCAAACAAATAGTAACAAAATTCATCACAGTCTATTCTATTGACCTCAAATGAGGCTTGATACAATTCTGGTTATGGCAACACTGAGGATTATCAAAATGCAATAAAAGAACAATAATGTCTTTTGCACATAAATATATGTTTAAAACTGAGTTGGTCCTGAAGAGGTATTCAATGATCATTTAAAAATGTAAACAGAGGCTAGTGAGATGCCCTAACTGGTAAAGGCACTTGTCACCAAGCCTGATGACCTAAATTCCATCCTTGGAACCCACATGACAAAAGGAGAGAAATAGTGCCTGCAATTTGCCCTCTGACCTCGACAAGCACACTATACCATGCACAAGTAGGCACACATGTGTGGGCACACACACAAACATACATACATCATATACTCATAAATAAATAAATGTAATAAAATATAAATGGGATTTTGAAAAGCCTAGATCAGTCCTGCACAGCTGTGTTATCTAAATCACTGAGGCCTCTGGTAAGGTAACTGACCTATGTCATGACACAGCTTCTACTTCCAGAAGGGTTTGCCACACAGTGCCCACAACCCAATAACAAGTATTGTATATGGTATCCTTGCTGGGCTAGAGAATCCTCCTTGAATACAGGACATTTCTGTTGTTAGAGGAAATGGCCTGTGAATCCCAGGATGCCCATTGACTAATTAAAGCACTTTCCCTGATGGTCCCTGCTTCATCGCCAAATCTTAAACTAAGCCAAGGGAATTAAAACAAAAGTAAATCTCCAGTTCAGGAACCTTCCGAGAATCACATATTTAGTTTGCTGAAATGATAAAGAATGTGTGTGTACTCTCTCAATAATAAATGAAACCATGAGGTGTCTAGCCAGAGTATTAACTGGAACTGAATGCAATAGGGCTAAGACTACTCTGACTCTTCAAGAGTATGATTAAAATCACAAACCTTGACCTACTGAAAATGTTTCTATTATCAATGTCAAGACATTACAAATCAGTCTAGAGGGGCTCTGATGGTCACTCAGAGCTCAATAAAATGACAACTTGTTTAAAAAGCAGCCTGAGCATATGCCATACATAAATTGACAGATTAACTCAAGCTATAGGGCAACGGACTGTATCAAAGAGTCTTTGTGAAACAAGGAAAGGTCAGGGATCTTACTGGGACAGTGTTGAAATATATATGGATCACTTTCTTGAAGGAAGGTGGGCTTCTGTGCAAATACAAATATCTTTACAGAAACTGCAAAAAGAAGCGATGCACACAGCACTACACAAGCACCTACCTTTCCCCTAAAGTCAGACAGTTGTATAAAATACCACTTACCCTGTGTATTAGGAATGAATTTGAAATTATAACCAAATCAAACTATACTTATCTTGGCTTTCCATGGGTCAAAGCCTATGGTTGCCTTGTTCAACAAGTCTGTAACAGTATTCAAAACGCTTTAACTATATCCACTATTACATTCTATCAGAAACTGATGGTCATGTAAGGTCATAGGGAGAAAATGGTAAAGAATTAGGACCAAAATTGGACTTGCCTTAATATGAAGGGGTCGGCTAGTACATGTTGTGGAATATTCCTTTAGCTATGTCAGGATGTATCACATTTGTTTGCACTGCACTTGTTTAATGATACAGTTCCCTGGCTCCCCTTAACTCGGATTCCTACTCTCTTTATACCCACTGGCTGCCCCTCACTAGTCTCTCTTTCTCACTATCTCCACCACCCTCCTTCCTTCTCTCACAGATAGTCCTAGTCATGTTCAGTATGGTTTTTTGTTTGTTCTTTTGGTTTTTTCCCCCTCTTTGCTCTGGACACTTACAGACACCTCTAGATATTTTCACTTTCTTATGCACAATGAAAAGCTTTTCCCTGTTGGAGCAGATATTTCAACAGGTTCTCTACTATGTTCTCTTGCATACGGGTGCAGCTTTCCAAAATCTCACATGTGAACCAGAAAAGGGTGGTACACTGTTTTCAGGATAAACAAAACAGCCATGCTTTAATGGCTTCAAACAGATCTCTAGAACTAAACTCAAATTTATTTTAAAGTATTCAAGTTGGAAATCACCCTGAAAATGTTCTTTGACCATCATGCCATTTAGAAACCAACCAAAGGGCCCACAGATAACAGTTCCTAAAGTGAAGCTTCCAGGTAATTCTAACAGCCAAGGAACAATGTAAAGAATGTTAAAGTCTATGAAAACACAGCATATAAAATTTGTAGAATGGAGCTAAAATCTTAGCTTCAACCTTAAGAAACCAACTACAACCAAGGCAAAGGAGCCCAGGCTGAAAACAGTAGCAAAGCCCACAAGAGAGCAAAGAGGAAGACAGCTGAAACAAACCAGTAAAACCAGAAGCTGGCTCCTGGAAAAGATGACCAAATACGTGAGTTCAAGCCAGACCATGGGGCCAAATGATAATCTCCTTGAAATCGTGGTCCTGAACTCTGCCCTCAAATGGCCAAAGAGCTACATGCATGTTGGTTCAAGATGAGATTATACTAGATTACCTGGTCTGTTTGCAGTGGAGCCTAATAGAAAGTGCAATGTTCAAGACAAGGAAAATGACAGGGACTAGACTGACCTAGAAATAGGCTGTGAAACATTGGATACCATCCAAGTGGGCAAATCAAGGAACAGACTGCTTCCCACAGCCTGCAGAGGGAGAACAGGCATAATGATGCCTTCATTTCAACCCAGTCAAGCTGATGTTCAATTTGTTTTCACCAGAACTGTGAGACAACAAGTAGAAACTTTTACTTCTGAAAATAACTTCTAATTTGTATGCATGTATGTATGTATGTATGCATGCATGCATTTTGAGCATAAGTATAGACATGTATGACATAGCATGTATGCAGAGGTTAGAGAACTAGCAGCAGTGGTTGGTTTTCTCCTTCTACCTTTGGGGACTGAATTCAAGTTGTCAGCCTCAGGCTGGGTGTCAGGTGTTTGCCCAGTGAGCTATCTTGCAAGCTCAGAATTTCAACTTCTGTAGTCTGCATATAATAGACTCTCCTACAGTATCCCACTGTTTGAATCCTGTTCTGTTAGAATTCATTTACTCCCTTGGGAGGAAGGTGTCTACCCATCCAAGGATTGCCATGAACGAAATGTTTCCTCTCCTCCTAAGCAATAAAACTTAGTGAGCTCAGGGGTGTTATGCAAACAGCTCCCATTTAGCCTTGGGATCTTCTGTATCCTGAGCATATTAGGTGATAGTGATAAATACTCTGTATTTCATTGTTTCTCTGTCACTGTTTTGAACCCTGAGCTGTCTTGGAATAAAAGCTGCACAGAATGCCAGTAAAGCACTCACTCTGGAGCAGCATCGCCTAGAGTACCCTGGCCCTGAATCTCTAACTTACTGGAGGGTTGCAATATACTTTTTAAGCTACCAACTTTTGGGGAATTTGTTACAACAGCCAATGGAGACTAATATACAGAAGAAAGTGAGAGAAGACATAAATGACCAGTATCAGAAATAAAAGACCTGTACTCAAAATAGTAACAGAATAAGACAGGTATATATTATTTATTACACAATATATATACATATATACAATATAATCTTGTAAATTTGTATTATAATTATATTGTGATTTATTATATATCACTATACATATTATATTGTATTATTATAAAATGTATTATAATTGTAATAAAATTTTTATAGTTTTATAATAATAGTAAAATTATAAGGAATAATATGCCATCAAATATATCATCTTAAAACAATAGACACCTACTCCAGAATATAAAATCTTCAAAGTTCAGAGAGGGTCTGAATAGTCAAACCTACAAGTTATAAACAAATTATTAAAACTTTTGGAGGGCTGGCTGATGACTCAGTGGTTAAGAACATTTGCTGCTCTTCCACAGAACTAAGTTCAGCAGTTCCATGGGATCCAGCATCTTCTGGCTTTTCTATAAGTAGTCACACACATGGCATATACTTATACTTACAGACACACAGACACACAGAAACACACACACACACCACTATACACACATATATAAACACTCACAAGACATGCAATACATAGACACATAACCACATATTCATACACATAGGAACACATACAAAAGCATATATACACACACGTAAACACATACATACATAGAGATACACACACAGGCACATTGGCACACACACACACACACACACACACACACATACACACACACACACACACACACACACACACACATACACACACACACACAGCCTGACCCTTAGTACAAGCTGACTTGTGTCATTTGTGGGGAGAGGTTATCAAAAAGCATCCCAGAAAGGATTTGGGAGTCAGAGGAATCTCAATCTCTTGATTGTTCAGCTAGTTTGATGGTATGTTACATATGCTGAAACTTGTCAATCTACATGCTTTAAATATGTCCTACTTATTTTTATATAAATTATACAATAGTGTTGGTTTTGAAAAATAATGAAAACTTCACCAATAGAAAAGATTTTAGGTATCAGGGAGACCAACATAGTGAAATGGATGGTGACATTCCAAATAGAAGCAAGAGTATTTCCCCAGAAGAGCTGACTCCACCTATGCAGGAATACTGAGGAAGAAGCAACCCCTGGGGATGCATGAACCTTACATCTTCAACATTTTACTGAATTCCTCCCTGT